GTTATTGCTAGCTTAAGAAGTAGCTTTATAAATTTGACTGGCAGCCAATGAGAAAGACGGGCAAATAATGGCAAATAACATTTCAGTAAGTTATTTTAATTTAGATTTTGTAATAATAATAATAAAAATAAAATAAAAATAAAATAAATAAATAGTTGAAAAACAGAATCGATTCTATTATTTGAAAAATTATATATATTTTTTATTATTAAGAAATGTATTAGTTTTTAGCATTTTGTTTTCTCATTTTCCCTTTAACTTTCTGAGGCCTCCTTATCGCCCCCTGGCGGCACCCACTTTGAAAAACACTCCTTTATAATGCAGTCATTAAATTATAATATTATTGAAAAGTTAATGGATTCACTTGGTGGTATATTCACCAAGTGAAATATACCAGGTTTAAGATTATTTTTATTTTTAAAAATAGCATTTAATCAAACAAACCAATTCAGAACATATATTCTAATTTATTGAATATGACTGCATGTCTCTACCTGCATATTTAGATAATGATATTTTGCCCTTCATTTGCCCAATACTTTCTTTCTGTTGGCTGGTGAACATCCACCCTGATATCAGTATCTTTGCAGAATCTAACAGGTTTTCTTTCAGGATGACCCCACATTCATCTTCCCATCAGCTCTGACTGAGAAGTATCTCGACCGCATGATTCTGTCAACACAGTGTTTCATAGTAAGTATGATGTATTATTGGTTCAATTTAACGGCAGCAGCTACTTATTTCATGATTTTTTTAAAAGTAAGTTTTGAGTTACCCCAAGAAACCTCAATCTGCTTCTCTTTCTTTGCCATTCTAAAAACAATCTTGGTAATATCTTGCATTTAGTTTGTCGTAAAGATCATGCAGAAGGTTTAGAATGCTAGAGTAGAAGAAGTGTGATTTTTCTTCTGTTTTCTGATGATGACCATCTGTATAATGAATAGAAAAAATAATACTGGCCCAAAGACCGAACCTATAGAGAACATGGAATTGTTGCAAAAGAAAAAACATCTAAAATCGCTTATTCGGAAAATACACAAGAAAGTATACATGTTGCATCTGTGCAACAAAACACTTACAAAACATGTTAACACAAGGATCTGACAATGTGACAACGAAAATATTACCATACACTGTGAAAAGATACATTTTACTCTGATATATGCATTTGTATTAATATCCCCAGATCAATATGTGTGATTTGAAAGTCACAAAAGGCTGGGGCATTATCAGAATCAACTTAACTACATAAATATACAATAATCAGGCATAACATTATAACCAGGGGCAGGTGAAGTTTAACACTGGTTACCTGCTGGTTGTGGCACGTGTTTTTTGGGGTAAAAAAAGCGGAAAACATTGTAAAAAAAAAAAAAAAAAAAAAAAAAAATTGCTGACTCAAAATGACAGCCTAGTTTCTTTCTTGCTTTGACTCAGTAAAGTTGCATCACTTTTCACTGCCAAGATCAAAACACCTTAATATACATTAGTTAAGTTGACTTAGATTAATCTCAGAAATTTTTGAGAAAAAACATGGAAATTTCTAAGTTTGAAAAGTCAAAAGAAATTATTAGAAAAATTCAAAAATTCTGACAAATCTCAGATACATGGACATTTCTCAGTTTCAAAAGTTGAAAATTTGCTCAGGGCTTTTTAAACAAATAATTAGATTCCTGCTGCATCACAGTTCTACTTGTTGAGGTGGCATGAAATGATTCTGTCATAACTTATGAAGATTTTTTCTTCAATTCACAAAGATGAAAAGTATCAAATATTTAAACTCTAAGAGGACAAAATATCCTTGAAAATCAGAAGGAATATAAGAAGAAATGTGCACATTTTAAAACATCAACTACTTTTTCATCTCCTTCCCAGATTTTCACTTAAATTCATTTAAAGTTGAATGTTTTAAAGAGAAGTTTTTTCTTTGTTCTTTATCTGCCTTTTAACTCATTTTCTGACTGGACCTGGGATTATAATTCTGTACCAGTCTACATCCGTGGATATGAAGTAATTAATTGGACTCGTCTGTCTTCATTCATAAAATTAATTGAAGTAATTACTTCATACTTAAACTCTGACATTGTACCAATATATGCCTTAAATGTGAGGACAGCTATAAATGAGGAACCAAAGAAGAGTCATGCAAAGTATAGAAATAAACGGGAAAAAAATGTCTGAAAGAAGAATGAAAGATCCGGGATCATTCAGCTGATCACCTATTTATCAATGTACTATGTCCCTGAGTAATTTATAAGCCAGACTTTGGTGACTGAACAAGCAAAACAAAAATAACAAAACTCAAAAGAAACTTCGACACTGAGTCCAAAATATTCAGAGTAAAAAAATTAACATTAGTTATCAACTTAGAAATGAGTTATACGCTAACATTTAATTTCTGCCTAACATATTAATACAGTACAGTATTTTTGAATATGAACTTAAAATGCATTGAATTAATGACAGCAAACACCCACTTATGAAAATGCCAATATTATTTTTAATAAACAGAGGGAAACAAACCACTTCTATCCGCATGGAATTTATTTGATTCAATTGTCTCACAGAACATTTGGATTAAATACAGGTTCACAAATTTGTGCGTTTGTGTCTTGTATGTGCGCGCGCGTGCGTGCGTGTGTGTGTGTGTGTGCGTGTGTGTTTGTGTGTATCTAGGCAGCTGACCCTGGTGCGAACAGGGCTACTTTGTGAAACCACAGAGAGACCATTCTTCCCTGCGACATAACACACTCATACACAGCCATCCACTCCGGCCCCTCTCGCTCGCCGTAATTTGTCGCATTCACTAACGCGCACAAATGCACATACAGAGGGAGCAAGAGAGTCAATTTCAATCTCTCATTCTCATACAGAAATCTCGAGCACAGTCTTGCTTTTTGTTTCTCCTCAACGCTCACAAACACAGCGGCAATGTCCCTCCACATAATGACCCTTATTCCACCATCCTGACCGTGAGTCACTGGGTTCAGTCAGGAGACTGGAATGTCGAGCTCCATCATACCGATGCGTGGTATATACCGCAAATATTTTCACAAGAGGGAAATCGGCAGTGATTGGAAAGCAATGGACATGATATCATCCAGTTATCATAGAAACTTGATAAAACATTCTAGACATTTTTTTTTTTAAAGATCCACCATTTTATTTCCATTGTTAGATTTTAAAATAACGACAGAACTTTTGCAGTAAAAGAGAATGCGCACATTTTCTTCAGTGGAATGTTTATTTTTGTGGAACTGTTACAAATTTTATTGCCCCAGGAATTATCATGATAAATGATAATGTTGTGTAGAGACCTTTTTCTAAGTATTGGTAATAGCATTACTATGCAAGATCACCCTCTTAAACACTAATAGTTTAATTTTACTATAGAGCAGTGCAGACTGCAATTGGAAGACATCTTAAATATACCAAAATAAAAGACAATAACCAGAATCAATGAATAAAACGGAAATTAAAACCTACATACATAAATAACATTGACTATGAAGTCTCAAAACAAAAAATGCCCTTCAAAAAATATTAGTCATCAGAATGGAAATGATCAAGCTCTTTTGAATTCATACAATTAATTGATTGATTGCTTATTGGAGCAGGATTTAAAAGATTTCAAAATGAATTACTGGTACTTTCTGTTGTAGAAATTTAAAGCAAGACTCCATGGTTTAGAAACACAAAAGCATAATCATAACTTTTCAACATTTTGCCATTTAAGAACAACAAATTTTGTTGTATTTATTGTTATTTTAAGTATAAACAGAACAGAAAGTATCACATGACATTGAAGTGGAATAAAAATAGGATGCAGAGATTTTTGAATAAGAAAAATTTAAAATTTGAAAAGTGCGGCTTGCCTTTGTGTTCAGTGCCCCTGATTCATTACTTTGGAGAACCATCTTTTGCTGCAAGTCTCAAGATTTTAGAGTCTTAACTGTTTGTTCATTCATCTTCATGAAACAGCTTAAGTCCAAAGGGTCCAAGAAATATTGAATCTAACAAGTTTTTTCCCAAGATTGCAGCGTATTTTGCTTCATCTATCGTTCCATCAGCAGTACTCCGCCTTCCTCACCTGGCCGAAGAACAGCCTCCCCCAAGCATGATGCTGCCACCACCTTGCTTCAAGGTCAGGATAGTGTTCAGGTTTAGACAGACAGACAGACAGACAGACAGACAGACAGACAGATAGATAGATAGATAGATAGATAGATAGATAGATAGATAGATAGATAGATAGATAGATAGATAGATAGATAGATAGATAGATAGACTTCTGTTGTTTCAATAATTTCTAAATATTATTCAAGTTTTGCATTCCTTATAGTTCTTGCATCATTGAGGTGCTTGTCATTCTGTAGTAGTGTGATAGAAGTCTTCTTCCTTTTTGTTTTTATTTGAGTTTCTCTGGGAGGATGAATTTGTGATTTCCAAAGTGTTTTACATACCAGTGTTCAAATGTGTGAATTTGTTTGCTTATTCATTATTGTGTGACCAGATATTTAATTATTTGTTCAATTATTATTATTATTATTATTATTATTATTATTATTATTATTATTATTATTATTATTATTATTATTATTGTTGTTATTGTTATTGTTGTTGTTGTTTTGATATTCGGAGACGTCAGTTTAGAAGAGCAGGTATTCTTTACAAAAACGGAAGGAAAAGAAAACTTTCAGAAGCAAAACACAGGAACCATTTCCAAACAGTAAAAAGCCAAAGGCTTAACCGGAAGCTCATGAAAGTAGCTTACAAAATTAAGTTATGAAAGTACAAGAAAGCGCATTGGAACCGAGCACAAAGATATATCGTAAATATGAGTATTGTGCGCAAATAGGATTTTAAATCTGAAAAACAAAGATTATGGAAGTTTATGAGTAACTTTCTGTCAATAGACGTATAAGGAAAATTATATATTTATATATCATTCACAATCAGACTTTTACCTCGGCAGGTCGCACCGGAAGTACTTTGTTTCTCGACTCCTCAACTTGACTCACTGAGCTAAACTTCAGAATGGAGCCGAGGGGAGGAAAAAGCCGTTAGTTGGCACCGTCAGCGGAGAGAAAGTCGCACCGTCCATGTCTTTAAAACAAACATCGACCCGCTGACAATAAAAAAAACCTACCGACAGCAATGTCGCGAGAAAACACCACGCGAAGCTTGGACAGTATAGACCTCGCGGCTTTAAGAGTAAGTTTTAAAACATGTCTTTTTTTTTCTTTCTTTTCTTTTTTTAATGCAGTGCTTGAGTAAACACAGTAAGACGTGGTGGGTGTTACTTTGGAAGTTAACGGTAGTCTCAAACAGCACGAACCGAGCAGTCAAATGTTGTGATAACTGATGTGGTCCAACTGTGGGATCCGAGTGTGGAAGTTGCTGTATAATGGTACCTCTCAGAGAGTGTGTGTACAGTGTGTGCCTTATCTGTAACTTCATGTTCACTGTCTGCCCTGTGTCCTGTTTGGGGCAAGTTTCTGTGTTTACTCGGATTTTTTTCTTTGTTGGGCTGAAGAAGCTGACAAGTTGCCCAAATCAAGACAACTTGTTGTGTTGTGGCTTTGTTGAACAGCAGCATTATTTCCTACTCTTCTCCAGTAAATTCAGCAGATTTTTAAATTAAATATTACAATTTAAACTCCCTCCTACTGTTTTTTTCTTCACTCTCACTTTCTCTGCAGGATCCAGCAGGCATCTTCGAGTTGGTTGAGGTGGTCGGCAATGGAACCTATGGGCAGGTATACAAGGTGAGTTGACCCTCTTCCATATGAAGTTTTCATACATCCTTTAACTCTTGTAAACAACTCTCTTTTTTGGATTATATTGGAATTTTATTGTTACGTTTCACCTTGTTAGTCAAACCAACATACAATACCACGGTTTCCCCCAGAAAACTTGCTAAGCCCAGTGGTAGGGCAGTCATCCAGCGGCCCACCGCGTTTTTGAGCTAAAATACGTTTAAAGTCGACATGAAATGTGAAAATATGACTAGGTGATTATGCATTATTGGAAGACATGGTTGACAATAATTAAAATCTTAAAAAATACAAACATAAAAAAAATACTAAGACAAATGTCAATTTTTTTGCACTTCTGTTGTGTCATACTAATTTAAGTGTCTAAAAAACTTCAGTCGTGATTTGTGACTGAAGTTGTTGGCGTGTTACCAGGAAGTGGTCAAGGAGTTCTGGTCAATTAAAAATGACCCCTGACCTCAATTTCCCTATGTGTTAACATACTAGCCATACTATGTTGCCATTATGCTTCCAACCATTTTGCCAAAGAAACTCTTTAACCCGTCTTTGCTATCACTGTTACTAGTGTACTAAAAAAACCTATAATTAGTCAAAACAAACAGGGCTTCGCCTGTTGGAGGAGCATGTAAAGCCTGTTAGCCCGCCAGGTTTATAATTCCCCCAATACAGTTCCAGCTGTAAGTCCTTTTATGATATTTCTCGCATTAATCTTTGCAAAAGGAGTAATATCCAGCCCAGTTTCCACCATGTTTCACTATTAGGGTTTGGTCTTCAGCAGGGAACACTAAGGTTTATTTTTTCCCAAAGGGAAAAGCCAGATTTTGGGATAATTGGAGTAATTGTTTTGCTATTTAAAATGTGATGAAATAATGCCCACTGGTGTACTTTTATTTACTTGTGTAGCAACTAAAAGAGGCTGAAATCCACTGAAATTTGAGCAGCTCCTGTCACATCAAACCCAAAGAAAATACATCGATGTTTGCAGAAAAGGTCAAGACGAATGAATACTCTTGCAAGGAACTGTATCCATCTGCATTCCATGCATGCAAATTTCTAATCGCTTGTCGTGCATATCAAAACTTATGACAGCTACTTCCAGTTAGCAAAAGAAGAAGAAGCAGAAACGTCTGTTTACTGGAATATCCTGTTGGTCAGAGCACACAGATCCTCTCACACGCACACACACGCAAACACATGTGCATGCACAGCATCTTTAAAAGGCATTGGGTGGAGTGTACTTCCTTATCACATTATCTGTTTGTCTATATGTGGGTCGGGGTTTGTGGTGAGAGGTGTTTAGTCACTTGTAGACTCTTGCAGCTGGTTGTTGCAGCAACACCACAGAGGTGTGTGTGTGTGTGTTACTACTCTTTTGTGAACTTTTTTCGTTTCGCTTTTTACCAACTGAAATCCTGCTGAGTTCACGATGGATGGTGCAACAGAGGCACGACCAGGACTTGGTTTATGTGTTTGTATGCTGAGAGGCGTATCTGGAGGCCAGCCTCTGAAACAGAAACAGCAGAGCTTTCTTCAGAGGTGCCCTGGTCTGTATGGGAAAATCTGTCAGGCCGTTGGTGGGTGTGTGCGACTCGATTGCCACTCAGTTTCCTGAAAGAGGAAATGTTGCAAAAGCTGTACAGGACAGTGAGGAACACTGCTTGAAATCACTCAGCTTCAAAATATGACACACATTTGACTGACAAAAGGACAAAAAAAACACCTTATTTGGATGAACGATGAACTTTGTCATAGAGGCTGAATTTTTAGCAACAGCTTTAATGTCTCAAAGCTTCTATAAAGTTAGCAGCAATATATTTAGTGTTTCTGCTACTTGGATTATGAATATCTTTTAATTTGCTAGAGCTGATTTAATGGTTGAAGTCTTCTTACAGGGGTAGTATTATGTGTTTTTTGCAGACACAATGTCATTTTATGGCATAATCTAGTAACTGTTAATCTTGGTTATTAAAAAATGCTATATCAAATATGACTTCAAAGAAATTTTACTTCCTGATTTACCACCTTGAAATTGTTGTCTCTGCCTCTTTAAGAAGCTCCAGATCTTTCAGAAATGCTGCCTACAGGAAGTCATCACAACATGGCTCCTCTACTAACCCTTTAACAACCAGCGTGCCACTGAGGAGTAGCTTCTATAATGAGCTCAGCAGATGCACAGTTCCACCAGGTGTTTGATAATTGCTGCTGACTACTCTGAAGGAGCTGAATGTGGCGAAACACAGGGGAAGTTAGGCGGAAGCTAGAAAGCTTGAAAACTGCAGCTCTAAGGAGGAGTTTTGTCCTTGAAGGCGGAGCTAGGTCCACTCAGTTGTTTAGAACATCTGAATGGTTTAAGAAAACGTTTCTTAAACATACATGAAAAAATCGAAGCAACACTCCAAGTATGTTCTGAGAAGTTAATCACATAATAACATGATGAAAAGCTAAACATTTTTAAATGATACTGCCCCTTTAAAAACATGTCAGCAGTTAGATTATTAATAAAATCTCCAAAACTCACTGTTAGGATCGATCCTAATAACTGGTATATATATCACAGATCTTGTTAAATATGGTGGAAGATCTGTGATGCTGTGTGTCTATTTCATTTCCTATGACCCTGGGAATATTGTTAGAGTTCACAATCTCTTACTAATGACAGGATATGTTAAATAAAAATAAGGCGGACTCTTCAGTGGCCATTAGCCTTAAGATATTAAACCTCCAGATAGAGAGAATATGCAAGTAGAACAGTGACGGGTCTCTCCGTCTGTATTCCCCCAGCTTGTGAAATGTTAAAGGCGAAGGCTAAGCAATGTCCAGTTGCCATGGGTTCCCATTGTTGCACCAGTAGGGTTTTTTTGTCAAAATTATTGTGTTTGCTAACAAAGATTTCCCCCCCTGCCAACTAAATGGGCTCAGATTAATTAAATGATTTTAAATAATTTTCAGTTCACTGCTGCAATATAAAATGACTCTAAGGCTTTTTACCTTTTTCATCTTTAGTACAAGTTCTAATTGGTTTAGCCACCAACATTTGTACTGGCTGTGATTTCATTTAATCTGATTTTTCTACCAATCATGAATTGATTATCTTGACATTTTTTAAAGCAAAACCCCAATTTGTTTGTAGGTAATAGTTTGATTATGGTGCAAAACCACCAAATGTAGAGTTCTGCCCTGTTTTATCGTTCACTGTCTCTATCAAGATACTCAGGCAGCGCCTCCAGTAGTAAGGTGCTGGTCTGTAGATGTTTCCAACTTGAGTAGCATCGCTGTCATGATTTTTGGGTCAAAATAACTCTGTTAAGTCAAGATATGACAAAACTAAGCAGTAATCCTATCAGAACAAATTAAAACTCTGGCTAGTTGGGATAATGAAGCACACAAAAAAAAAACAATAGAGGGGTACACTGATGAATCAGCCCATATTTCCTTAGCTATTTTGTGACTTCTTAATCTATTTTATTCATGATTTCTGTTGTGTGGTTTTTATTTCCATCTTATTTGTTGTTTTTGGTTGTCGTATTTCATTTGGGATATTTAAGATATTGTCCAGTTTTCGTTGCAAAGTCAAAGTTTACTAGTCTTTGAGAGAGTGAACTTCAGTCAATAAAAATCATATTATTGACTCAGTGAGATAAGGACAAGTTTAGGATTTCTTATGTCGAGATAATGAGACAATGAGGCTATTCATACTCTTACCATCTGTAATAATATAAGGAAACTGATATTATGACAGAAACAAGCTTGAGATCTTATCTTGAAATAATTGGACAAGCAAACTGTCAAGACAAGAAAACAAGATTTTATCTGAAGTTTATTGTGACAAAATTCTTGTTTTTGAGTCTAGGAGATGAGGAAACTTACATTTAATCCCAAAATAAGGACACAGTGAAATTATCACAACAAAACAAGCTAAGATCGCATTATCATCAGATGATAGTGTAAAGAAATCAAACAATTTCCTTCTAATGTTTAGAAAAACTGCTATACTTTCAGAACAAGGATTACAACAACAACAAACTGACTGAAAATGTAATGAGATATTTGAAAATTATAGTTTGAAATTTCTGGAAATTTTACATCAAAGTGTGGAGGACTGACATTTTATCTCATTGTATGGACTCATGGGACCTGTTGGAGAGCCTGGGTGAGTTCCAACAGGAGAAACCAGGACAAGAATAGAGTCTGAAGAACAATACCTTTCCTGACACACACACACACACGCACACACACGCAGACGCACACACGGGGCCTTACAAAAACACATAGTTGTGAACTGATGTGAGCGCAGGAGATGCTGACTAAGCATCTGGGGTTTTCCTCTGTTTATCTACACGTCATAATTGTATGTTTTCTTTTAATGGGTAGTAGCATGAGATAAGAAGGAAATCCAGCTCAAACTGATTGAGACTTTAAACACTTTCGCTGAAGTGTTTAAAGTCTCCACTCTGTAATGTTTAATATACATTACAGAGAATCTGCCAGTCACATGTCTCTACTTCACCTTTAAACATATTTACTTCTGTTTAACGAAAAGTAGCCTGATGCGTTTAATGTTTTGATAATAAACTGGTTTTCCAAATTTGAAACTAAAATAATTGATGTTTTTAGTCTGGTAGTTTCATGTCTCATACATTTGATGTGTCCTGCATGGAATCAAACTTTAATAAAAAAAAAACTGTAGATCTCTATACTTCTAGAAAGTATTTTAAGGATTGGCATTTTGAAATTGGCAACCGTTTTTAGTTGTGCATTTATTTGTTTTTTGTTTTTTTCCTTTGTTAGCATCCTGTGATAAATGCAACAGTTAAACAGAAGCATAGTGGCTGTTGTGTAATCAATTGTGGTCAATTCACATTTTGGTCACTCTTCCTCTACTATCCTTGAGCTGAGCATATCGCTCAATAAAGCTACTTTCATCTTTTTTTATGTGCTCTTGTATTAAGGTGTGATTAGGGGTGTTGAACTCACAGTGTTCTGCTTCGTCA